TTTTTTTTTTTAAGAGGATCTCGCTCTGACATCCAGGCTGTAGTGCAGTGATGCTATCATAGCTCATTCAGCCTTGAACTCCTGGGCTCAAAAGAGCTTCCTGCCTCAGCCTTCCCGAGAGCTGGGACCACAGGCGTGCACCACCATGCCCAGCTATTTTTTACTTTTGTGTAGCAATGTGGTCTCACTATGTTTCCCAGGTTGGTCTCAAACTCCTGGCGTCAAGCTCTCACCTGGGCCTCCCACAGCATTGGGATTACAAATATGAACCACTGTGCCCAACCACAAGAATTATTAAGTATGTGCTTCCAGGTCTCTCCATGATTCTTTAACTCTGCAAGCTACAAAATAAAAGAATTGCCTCATCAGCCTCTGTAGAGGAATGTGAATTGTATGGAATGGGTATGAAATGAAGGATAGTGAGATGTAGAAGGTAAAACAAAAGGAATCAGCTTTTTGTGTCTGTGACGGAGCATCTGATACTTGATGGTCTGATCACAAGGCACCTCTCAGAAATCTCCAGTCCTTCCCACCCAGTGGGCAGCCAGCTGCTTGAGCAGAGAGAGCCGTGGCTGGAACTCCTGCTCTGTGACTGGGGAGGGGGCCGAGCTTGCGCAGGATGCAGCTGCTGCCCACAGCCTTGAGCGCTCCCTCTTCCCTTGTGCTGGCTTCCCACTGCCAGCATCTGCAAGTCTGCCTGGAGGCCGAGCACGAGGCTGCTGGGCCCCTTAGATGGGGCTAGTGCTGAGGAGTTCATGGTCTTCACCCAGTTTCAGGGGGAGGTTGCAGGATATACAGCCCAGCTTCCTGGCTCCAGGTGGAACAACCCTGAGACATTGGCCTGCGCCATTTCCCGCAGGCCCCCAGTGGGACTGAGCCCAAGTTGCCTTCAACCACAGTCTGCTCATTACCACTTCCTGTGTTGATTTTTTTTTCCTTTCACTTTCTCATTTTTCCATTTCCTTGTTGGTCCCAATTAATTACTTGCACATGAATCTTTGTCTCAGGGTCTACATCTGGGGGAGCCCAAAGGCATAAACACGTGGGCTCTTGCTCTGCCTTTATCCTAGACCTAACATTGGTCTCCAGAGGTCACTCAGGACTTAATGGCCCATCATTATTGGCCTCTTTCCCCATGTTTACACACCTTTCTGTGCTAAGTAGGGTTTTTGGGTGGCAAGGAGGCAGTTAGCACGGGGAACTATGTAGTGAGGGACATGGAGACTGAACAGCAGCCAGCCCGTCACTCTGTTTCCTCATGGCCAGGCCTGGGACACACAGCTGCCCTTGTGCAGGTCCAGAACCATGGCTCTTCTTCCGTCTGGAGCCATCCTCAAAGCCAGTGACTTTGTCTTTTCCCATCACAAAGGAGCTCCCAGAATGTGGTAGTCCCCCTTCCTAGAGGGAGAATGGGACTGGGTCGGGGAGGCACCGCTGGTTTGCAGAGACCCCATTGGTCAGGTTCGGTGTCCAAAACACTGGAGGGGCAAGTGGGTTCTTGAAAGTCCAGCCCACATGGTTACTTTTGACTTGGACACTCAAATCACAGGGACACATGACACAGGCACAGGGTGTAACAACTGTGTGCAGAAAGAGCCACTCTCATTCCTCAGAAGAGCCTGTGGAGGTGGAGTGGCTGAGCCATGTGCCCCAAGCTTCATGTTGAAGTCCTAACCCCTATGTTAAAATGTGACCATATTTAGAGTTAGGGCCTTTAAAGAGCTAAGTGGCTAAAATGAAGTCATGAGGTAGGCCCTACTTCAGTGTGACCGGTGTCCTTGTAAGAAAACAGGGTTCAGACACACAGAGGGGAGAGCATGTGAGGACATGGGGAGGAGACGCCACCTGCAAGCCAAGGAGAGAGACCTCAGAAGAAACCAGCCCTCCCAACACCTTGAACCTAGACTCCCAGCTTCCAGAACTGTAAGAAAATACATTTCTGTTGTTTAAGCCACCTGGTGTTAGAGTTCTATCTTGAATTTCTCTCTGCTTTAGACTTCTCTGTTTTGTTTTTTAGTCTAAACGCTACTGAAAAGTGCAGAGAAGATGGAGTGCAGGCCCCTAGAGACAGGATGGAATGAAACTTGCAGTACGTGTCTGCCTCCTGCTCGGCACGTGCTCTTGGTACCCGCTGGTCCGTCTCACTGCTGACTGGCATCCCGAAGAAGCGGGCAGATTGCACAGGGGCAGCTCTTTCCTCCAAAGCTGCAACATGGTGCATGAAATCCTCAGATTGGGGAACGCATCCAGGCACTTGAGCTCAAACATACAGTTCTGTTCTAAGACATCCCAGGTGAAAAAAATCCACAAAGGTGAGCTTTCCCCCTGGAGACCATGAGGATTTCCTCAGGAACAAGGAGAAATGTTGCAGCTGCCCGGGTTGCAGTTCCAGGTATGGAGGCTTCCGTGTTTTATGGTCAGGGTCGTGATGGAGCTGTTTCCGCTGTAGGCAGGAATCCACCATGCTGTTCTCCCTGCTGCCTGCTGGCACCTCTTCTTCAGTCTCACCACTCTGAAACAGCATGCTTGGAAGCACCGTGGGATGATCCGGACGTCCAGGATTGTGGACGATCCTGTTCTTCCTGTCTGTGAGGTGGACAGATTGGGAATGTCCAGGTCTAGCTTGAATTTCACATCCAGCCATTGGCTGCCACCATGGTCAGGGGCTCCTGCACATGGACGGCCATTTCCCCTCCCGGGAGCAGGCAGGTGGCCAGCAGCCCCAGAACACCCTGGACACCTGTTTCCATAGGCTTGGATGACATGGTGATGCTCTCTGTGCCTTTGAGGATGGCGCCCTATGTCTTTGTATAGTAAATCCCACCTTGTCCTCTCCAGTTGAAACAGCCATTTCCCAAATTCCAATCTGATGAAATCCTGTTCTTCCTTCCCTCGTGTTTCTCTAGGCCTCCTGTGGACTCCCAGGATGTGAAGTCGGCATTCCCTTGAGCCTCTTGGGAACATATAAGCACATTGCCCAAAGTCCACCTAACTCCAGGTGTATCCTGTAGAACTAGCATTCTAATTCCTAATTTTAAAGATCTCACAGGACACAGGGTGTGTGTAAAAAGCCTGCCGCAAACCAGAGTGCCTGATTTGAGTACTAATGAGATGGAGGAAAGAAGCTGTGAGTGCAGATGACGAATCCCTAAGTGAGTGGCCCCAGAGCCAAAGGTGTTTGTCACACAGAGAGAGTGACTACCCAGGGAAGGAGCTCAGACTCGGCTGGACAAGCCCTGCAGGGACAGCCGTGTCCCAGCCTGGCCAGGAGGGTTGGGCGCTCTGGGCGTGTGCCTCATGTCTGCTTGATTCTCCTCCGGCCGAGTTCCACACAGGTGAATTGTGCTCATTCTTGCCTCCCCAAGGCCTAGATCAGAGTTCCTCAAGCTTTGGGATACAAACAAATCACCTGGGATTTTCATAAAATGCAGATTCGTGTTCAGCAGCCCTGGCGTTCTGCATTTCTCACGAGCTCCACGGGCTGCTGACGCTGCTGGGGCACGACCACACTTTGGGTGGCAAGGGCTTGGCAAGCAATTCCAGGTGTCGCCTTAGAGATGGCCTGCTATCGCACTGTCAGTAGGTAGCTGCCACAGTGACGGCCACTCCAGAGCAAGGGGGCAGAACTTTTTGAAAAGGGTCCTTGAATCATTTGGGAAATAACCCATATGAGTAAAAAGTAATCAAAAAATATGTTGGATGTTAGAGCCAGAGGAACTATTAGCATCATTTTGTAAAGACTCCCTCCACGAGTTTTCCAGATGAGGAAACTAACAAAGCCGGTGGCCTGTGGCGGAAGAGCGAGACGCTGGCGAGGTCTCCCTGCTGCACTCCCGTGCACTTCCACAGTGATACCCTGCTGAGACGCACAGCAAATGTTGACCGTAACTGTCTTTAAATTAAGACCGTGACTGTCCCGAACGTTTATAAGGCGCAAACCGTGAGAAAAAGGCGTGTACCAGCAATCAGAAGATGCTTTTGTCCACGTGCAACCTTGGACAAGTTAGTTACATAACGGTGCTCCCTGAGCCTGTTTCCCCACTGGAACCAAAAAAAAAAAGAAAGAAAAAAGAAAAGGCTGTGCCTGCCCTTCCTAATTCAAAGGGCACGGCAGCCAGCGAGGTAGGTAGTTAATGTGCTGAACCACTTCAAAACAGTGGAGCTGAATTCACGGTGGGAACACCATCACACACACCTTTTCATTACAAGGATGTTGGTGGACTGAGGGAGGTGGAGAGAGGCCCGAGGTTGGGAGGCAAAAGTGTGGGCTGGGGGGCAGGGGAAGGAGGAAGCCAGAGAGACACGCCCAGGCTCGGCTCCGAAGTCAGCAGGTGAGCGAGGTAGAGAACTAGCAGCACACTCTCTGTGGCTATTTGCAGGGATGGAAATGTACTGCATCTGTGCTCTCCAATGTGGCAGCCACTAGCCACATGTGACTGGCAAGCACTGGATATGTAGCTAGTGTGATTGAGGAACTGATTTTGAATTTTTTTAATTGTTTGTTATTAATTTCCATTGAAATAGCCATGTGTCCGGTGGCTCCTATAGCAAAGATCTAGATCATTTGTTTGAAGCAGTAAAAGGAGAAGTGTGAATCCCCTCTTACCTCCTGTAACATGCTGATTAACATCACTGCAATTAATCACCATTCACAGCTCTTCAGCTGCTCTGTGGAACCTCAGCCCACTCTGAAATGAACAGCCACAGTGGCAGGGGTTACTGAATGGGCTGGGAATGGCAATGAAGATTCATCTCTTCACATGCTTTTTATGCCCTCAATCAAAAATGCCTCAGGCTGTGTAAAATTCCATAAATAATAAAGAGATTTTTTTAAATATGAGTCTTGATTGATTCCTTACTATATATCTGTCTGGAATTGGGGTGGGGGGAGGTAAAGAGGGGGCTGAAAGCACTCAGAAATGGCCATTACTGCTAGCTGGAGGGAAGAATGAAGACACCTTCCAGAGGTTCTTAACCCTTTGTGCCCCAGGGGCCCCTTTGCCAGGCTAAAGAATTCTATAGAACGCTTCTCAGAAGAATGAGTTTAGGTTATAAAGTAAATTAGATTAAGATAGAATTCTACCCCTTGGAAATGAGGGACTGCAGATTAAGGACTCTTACCCTAAGAAGAGTGATGGAGTCCCTTTGCTTAGGCACCCCTGCCCCTCCCCCACCAGCCGCCTTTTGTGCCAACCCTGGATGAGTTGAGGAGAGGACCAACCAGGACTTCTCCCTTTCTTGGAAGATGTGCCATGGAAGGCAGAGGACTGCTCTCTGTGTCAGAGTACCTGTGGTCGCCGTGGGCTATGACACGGTGAGACAGCAGAAGGAACAGTATTGGAGGAACAGTATTGGAGGTAGCATTCTGGTCTTAATGGACATGTAGGTTGGGTAAGGGGCTAAGAGATAGGCTGCAGTGTTTGCTCTTATGTTAACCCTTCCCCACTCCCATCTCACTCCTTTCTGTGAACATAATGGCATTTCATAAAATTTGGGATACTGTCAGCAACAGGAGAAAACAATCTAGCAAGGCAAATTGAAATACCACTCTTGATGCAAACACCCTTTTAAAGTTTACCACACTGATCCCGTGCAATTAGACAAAGGAATTATGAACACTGCTGTCCAACACCTTCCCCAGATGCCCTGGGTGAAATGAAAGAAGCTCTAGTGGAGACTTGGCTGGTCAGGCCGGAGAGGCTGCCTGTGCAGGGGCTGCTAAAACAATGACCGACCTGGGTTAATTAATCAAATGAGGAAGCGGATGAAAATCCCTGTTGCAGCTGTAAGCCAGAGGGTTCACATGCAGAGCCACACAGCACAAACAAGGCAATCCACACCTGTCTGAATACTTACTGTTAATGAGCATAAAGTCGGAAGATCATGTTCTGATTTGAGTTCAACTATGTGTCTGAAAAGTATGAGAAGACAATGCTAAAGATTGCTCTAATAAAAATACCAGAACAAAAAACTGGTAATGTTACATGTAACAGGAAGTCATCCATTCTTATATTATTTTTACTTTTTGTTTCTCCAACATTTATAATATATACATTTATGCCACAATATAACCTTCACGAATTCGGATAAGACTGGGCTTAAAGCAAATTTATTTCTTTAAACATTCTAATACCCCATCAATTTAAAAGGTTAATGACTGCTTAGTAATGGAATGAAGTTATTCATTCATGGTTGTGGCATATACTAAAAACATACTTTTGCATTTAATATCAACATTTTAGAGATCTCTGCTGAAAATTTCAGTGAAATCTGTTTCTGAAATGTATTATGGGCCATTTCCTCTTCATAAAAGTAACACAATATGCCATACCATTTTGTACACAATAAAGCTCTTAATAAGCATTAAAATTTGTGTCCTTTCTGAGGTAAATAAACAATTTAAATGCAGTGGGAATAACCACCAGGATTAAAAGCAGTCTCTGAGCAGTAGGATGAGGCGACTTAGACTCCTCATTTTGTGCCTCCTACATTGTTTGAATGTCTATTTCTACATCCAAAACTCCAACAATAATGAGGAACAAGAATAGCTAAACATGTATCTTTTCAAACAGTTAATCAGAAAAATAAAAGGCAGTGATTTGAGACATAAAATTCTGAAACTATTCCAGATGACTTTTTAATATGAACACAAATTCCTGCCTTTTGTATCAGACTTCAGAAAATAAAGGATATTACTAAGCAAAACCTACCCAACTTTTAAAAATTGGATTATTTGGCTGGGCACAGTGACTCACGCCTGTAATCCCAGCACTTTGGGAGGCCAAGGCGGGTGGATCACCTGAGGTCAGGAGTTTGAGACCAGCCTGGCCAACATGGTGAAACCCCGTATCTACTAAAAATACAAAATTTAGCCAGATGTGGTGGCTCATGCCTGTAATCCCAATTACCCAGGAGGCTGAGGCAGGAGAATTGCTTGAACCCTGGAGGCGGAGGTTGCAGTGAGCTGACATCACACCACTGCATTCCAGCCTGGGCAACAGACAGAGCAAGATTCCCAAAAAAAAAAAAAAAAAAAAAAGGATTATTTATTCTTAATAATTCCAAACTCACTAAAGACCACCCAATAATCGATTATACTCTTGAAAAATTGCAGTTTGCACTATTAAGATGAAATTTAAGGAGCCTGACCCTTTTTTCTTCTTTTACTGTGTACCATCATTTTCACCCTAAGATAAGGAAGTGGTCCCCAGCTTACTTAAAGCCAAACAGTGCCCCTTCTCGCTCGCCACCAGCTGCCCTCTTGGTCTTTCCTTATCCATTAGCAGCACAGCCTTATCTTCCAGCTCATAAGCTGACAAAATATTTCAAGGACATCTGCATTCATAGGACTGGTTAATTTCTTCTCCATCATTCCCCCAACAAGTCACGGCAAAGCATTGAGCACAGCACTGAGCTGCAAAGCACTGGGTACAGCACCTGTCTGTTGTGGGTTTTTCGTACAAATCATCTCCCTTATTATCTTCCTATTACTACCATTAAAATTATTTGAATGTGAAGTACTGGTTTAAAGTCCTGACCGGCCAGGCGCGGTGGGTCACATCTGTAAATCCCAGCACTTTAGGAGGCCAAGGCGGGTGGATCACTTGAGGTCAGAAGTTCAAGACAAGCCTAGCCAACATGGTGAAATCCCACCTCTACTAAAAATACAAAAAATTAGCCAGGCATGGTGGCACACACCTGTAATCTCAGCTACTCAGGAGGCTGAGGCACGAGAATCACTTGAACCTGGGAGGCAGAGGTTGCAGAGAGCCATGATCGCACCACTGCACTCCAGTCTGGGTGACAGATGGAGACTCCGTCTGAAAAATAAAATAAAGTCCCAGCTCTGCGATCAACTAACCTGAGTTTATGTTCTGAGGAATACTGGACTATATTAATGTGATTATCCACACAAAGCCTTTAGCATGGGTTCTGGTTAAGTAACCTCTCAATAATTATCAGCTAATCTTATTAATAACAGGCACCAGTGAGTCTTCTTTAGTTTTTTCCACCAATCTTGGCTGGTTCTACATATTATTTCAAAGAGCCTTTGTAAATGTGGTTTTATACGTTCTTGCTTTAAAACATGACATAGCGGTCACTACCATTCTCTTCTCTGGCTGAGGGCTTGCACCTGCCACCTATTTCTCCACTGCAGGCCTAGAACAGCCTTCTGACTTAGCCCAGAACATCTTTCCATCTACCCTAAACGAACTGCACCTCTTTCCTACCATGGTGCCCAATTTCTAGGTTTCCTTTCAATTAATGGAGGGGTTTAGTCCCATGCATCCATCCCATGCCTCAGCTTGGCTGGCGGTGACTCAAGGGCAGAATCCGAGTCCCAGTCCTAGCAGGCACTCAGTGTTCACTGTTGCTGATGAAATAAAATGAGGAAATGCTACAAAGCCCACAAAGCATGGTGGAAATGAAAGGTGTTAATTAAAATGTCACTTTTACATAAGTTATGAATCGTCACGGTCAGATAACTCTGAAGTGCATTCACAAGGAATCCAGGATCCTTCCAGGTGATCCGTCTTTCTTCCTGGCAGTTGTCACCTACTGAATCTTGAATGTGGAGCCTGTGAGAGCTCTGGTTTAATAAGGATCCAAGTAATAGGCTGTACTCAGCTCTCCTAAGAAAGTTAGCAGAGGAGAGAAGTGGCCTCTGAAAAGCCCCGGACCAATGCTGTGGAAAGCAAAGAGTTTCTCAAATAAAAATACACACCCGTACCAGTCTCCCCAATGTCAGTACCTTAGTGACTCTTAAAACTTCTTAATCAGGCTGTATGAGCCTTTGTTTATTTTTCTCTCTGGAGTTAAGGCAGCCTTATTTTTAATTTCTTTAAAAGATATATATTTCTTTTATTTTTTTTCTCACCTATAATGCCAAATTTGATAACAAAGACAGCGTTAACCAAAGAAAAACACCACTAGGTTTTCTACAATGCTTTTAAAAGTCAGGATTTAGGATCTGCTACGAAAAGATGTCAGCTGGACAAATATAAATTTCTTTTCCACATACTCATAATTACGTTTTATAATATGCTAGTGAATGTTTACTTTCATAATATCAATGGTACATTTTGTCAACAGGGCAAGCTTTGATTTTTTTATTTTTTATTTTTTTGGTATTTCAATTATTCCATTAAGATAGAAAGGATCTGTTTCGAATAGTTCTGTATCATAATTCCTTTTTACAAAAAGGCGAGTTTATGGCTTCCTATCTGCCAGGCCAATTAAACTTGCCAAAACAATTCTCTATATTTAGAGACTTCCTGCTGAAAAGGACACTTCTAAATTCTTTTTTCTTTAACTTCATATTTTGAAATTATTTTAGACTTATAGAAAACTGCAGAAATAGCTCAGAGGGTTTCCATCTACCCTTCACCCAGACTCCTCAAATATTAACGTATCGACATAGCCGTTGTGTGAGTGTCAAAACCAGGAGGCTAACTCTGGTGTGATCCTGCTGGCTGCAGACCTCACCTGGATTTCTCCGATTTCCCCACTGCTGCCCTTCTTCTGGCCAAGGACCAACTCCAGGACCCCACTTTCCATTCAGCTGTATCTCCTGATTTCCTCTCCAATCTGGGACAGTCACTCAGTCTTCCCTTATCTTTCATGACCCTGAAACTTGTAAAGAGCACTGGTCAGTTACCTTGTAAATGTCTTTCCATTTGGGTCTATCTGACGTTTACTCTGACTGAGAGTAAATTGCGCATTTTTTTTTTTTTTTATTTTGCAAGAACACCACAGAAGTGATACTGGGCTCCTCTCAGTACATGATATCGGGGTGTATGATGTTAATGTTGTATCACTGGTGATATTAACCTTGATCG